CTGCTGATGGGCTGGGGCTGTGGCTCAGTGGTACAGCACTTGTCTCACAAGTGCGAGGCCCTGGGTTTGATCCTCAGCACCACATACATAAAAAATAAAGGTATTGTGTCCACCTACAACTACAATTAAAAAAAAAAAAAAAAAAAAAACTTAAAACACTGCTGAAAGAATCTTAGAGCATCTAAATACACACAGATAAACCAGAATTGTAGTTTGAAAGATTCAGTGTTGTAAAGAGTAATATTCTCCCTGAAATAATGTATAGATTCAACTCAAACTTCCAAAAGAAACAGGCTGCTTATAAAATTTATATAAACCGCTTACATTTGTTCATAAAGAAAATCATGTCTTTAAATCTCTCTCCTGTAAATACATGATTTGCTAAAAGTCACCAATTGTTTAAATAACTTTATTTATTTATTTAATTTTTTTTAATGTGGTGCTGAGGATGGAACCCAGGGCCTTGCACATGTGAGGCGAGTGTTCTACTGCTGAGCCATAACCCTAGCCCTTCTTTTTGTAGTTTTTAAAAAATATATATATGAAAATGAAAAAGGCCCAGGGGCTGGTGTTGTGGCTCAGTGGTAAAGCGCTCGCCCAGAATGCACGTGGCACTGGGTTCGATCCTCAGCACCACATAAATGTAAAATAAAGATACTGTGTCCACCTACAACTTAAATAAATATTTAAAAAAAAAAAAAAGAAAGAAAGAAAAGAAAATGGAAAAGGCGCAAAACAGCCAAGACAATTTGGGGTAAGGAGGGTGGACCAAGAACAAAGTGTTACACAGTGGATTTCAAAATAAAGTACCAACAAAGACAGATATCTAGATCAATAACTTGTTGTTGAGACACTGAAACATACAGCCAACCTATTTTCAACAAAAGGAAAAGGACAAATAGTGCTGGATCAATTATACATGTGTATGTAAAGAAAGGAAACCTAACTCTTGCCTGACAGTATATGTAAAACTTTACTAAAAACTATTCATAGAACTAAATTTCAAAAGCTAAAAGAAAAAACTTCCAGGGCTAGAAACGAGGCTCAGTGGTAGTGCACTTGCCTAACGTGCAAGGTCCCGGACACAATCCCTAGCACCATAAAACAAACAAACCAAAACTTCCAGGAAAAACGCAGTACAATTTTTGTGACTTTGGATTATGTAAAGATTCTCTGGATACGAAAAGTATAAACTATAAAAGACTTTTTAATAAAAGACAAGATAAAAACTGAAAGAAAATGTTTTAAATTTTTTGATTAAGGACTTTTACCAAGACTACATAAAGAATTTTTACATATTAAAAAAGTGAACTTGAACACTTTTAACCAAAGTATATAGACAGGGGAAAAAAAAAAAAAAAGACACTCGATACTGTTAATCATTACAGAAAAACAAACTGAGAGAGTAACAAACACCTATCAGAAAGGATAAAATAAAGAAGACTCACTACACCAAATGCTGAGGAGAAAGTAGAGTGACTAACTCTCATACATTACTGGTAGGAATTAGTATGGAACAATTATTTTGAAAAACAGTGTGGCAGCTCCTTATTAAGTGCAAAGCACTTATCGTGCAATCCAGCAATCTCACTGTACATATTTACCGCAGAAATGAAAACTAAAAAGTATCCTATCCTAGTTAGTTTGTCCAAGGTGTAAACAAAGTTTTGCTTTTTATATACATTCCTTATAAGCCATCAGAAGACATCAAAAAAACTTTTAAAATCTGCTTTAAATACTTAGGAACTTCACCCACCCTAACTCTGAAGTCAAAAACATTCAATCAAAATTATAAAAATTATACACCACCTAGAAAAGTTTTGCAAACCTCAAGCCGAGACTCATTAGTGGGTATTCTACTGGGTCAAGACCAACTTTTTAAGAACATGATACAGAACAGAAAATAGAACTTACCCTATCTAGTAAGGCTAAGTTTACATCTGAGGGATCTTTTATTTTAGCTGAATCACAAGGTGCCGTGTAAATGTATTTTTACCATATATCACGTCAAAACATTCAAAACCCTGACCTAAAACATCATTAGATCAAGTTTTACGCTACTAGAAGGTTTGCCATTTCTTTGATTCATCCCCATGCCAGAGAAGAATGAAATCCAGAGAGGTGTTAACAATGTTGTCTACAAATGTAATGACTTCAAATATCCTCTGGTAGTCTTTACCTTAAAGAATTATGAGTATACTTTATTATGTTTGCTATATTTGACAATCACTTTTAACTACCAAAACAATACATTTTCCACTTTCATTGGGATTCTGAGACTAAAGAATTCTACAAACTTTTCTCCAGTGACTAAACAAGGAAGCAAACATCAGAACTTACTGATCCTCCTATTATATACTGTAACTTGGCAACACATTATGAAGAACCTGGTAATTCAGAATGTAGATGAATTCAGGATTCACTAGAGAGTAACCTGAAGGCAAAATTATCTATTTCAATACATAACCAACTCACAATATTCAAAGGACACAGACTTCGCCTTACAAAAAAGGAAATTTTAACATCTATTAAAAAGTTGTCCTTGGGCTGGGGTTATGGCTCAGTGGAAGAGTGCTTGTTTGGCATGTGTGAGCCACTGGGTTCAATTCTCAGCACCACATATAAATAAATAAAAATAAAGGTTCATTTGACAACTAAATTAAAAAAAAAAAGTTGTCCTTGGCTGCATAATCACGGCTTAAGCATTTTATATAAAACATTTTATGTTATAGTAAACAAATCCTTAACAATTATAGCCTTTTAATTTAGAACAGTTAGAAAGAGTAAAATCAACTGCAGGCAAGTATGTGCAAAAGAAAAAAAATATGAGTAGAAATAATGCATGCATACAAATAAAGAGTTTCTTTTCTAAACCAGGTTTATCTATATAAAACTGTATATAAATGTTTATGAAATATGTATAGATAATGAGTAACTGTAACAATCACTGAATTCGAAAGGCACTGTTCTACAGAAAGTATACAGTATCTTGAGAAACTGTGAAACTTTTAAACTTAACATTGTTATCTGATTCTGGACTTCTGACAATTATTCATTAAAAAAAAAAAAAATCCTACACTGGAACTTAGATCAAGCTCATGGAGATTACAATCCCTGAACAAACTTTTGAATTCATGTAGGTCCAAAATAAGACTCCCTTAGTTCAGGGGATTCTTGTGAATTTGGGAGCTATAAAGGCATACATCTTTCTCTCATAAATAACATACACAAAATTATTCATCTTCATTCCCACAACATAAAAGGCTATTTTGTGAATAATTTTCTTTTCGAGCTGGGGATGTGGCTTGTGGTAGAGCACTTGCCTAGAATGTGCAAGGCCCTCCCTGGGTTTGATCCCCAGAAGTGCAAAACAAAAATAAAATGTTTCTATATACCTTTTGTATGGAAAGAAAAGAGATAATTAATCAATTTATGTACAATCAGTTATGAAGCTTGAATACTGCTATTAGAAAGACACATGCTTTGGTGAAACAAACTGTAAATGTTAAGAAGAAAAAAATCTGTTTTATCCTAAATTTTAGTTACTTAGCAGTAATTCATTATTATAAATACAAATAATGGAACTATATCAGAAATATATTCACCTTACAATACTGTAAAAATTATAAGGTTTAGACACTGTCTTTAAAGAAAAAAAAAAACCTATCTACTTCCTAAAATCTTGGACTTAGAATTAAAAGGAAGGCTTTGTAAGAGTACTTTTAAAAAAATCATAAATTTTATCAGTCCAGCCTGGCAGCCACTCATGTAATACCAACTGTTTGAGAGGCTGAGGCAGGAGGATCAATTTGAAGCCAGTATGGGCAACTCAGCCAGATCTTCGAAAAAATTAAAAAATAGAAAAAAAAAGGGCTGGTGATATAGGTCAGGGGTAGAGCACCCCGGGTTTAATTTCCAGTATTCCACCCCCACAAGTCATTTTTTTCACCATCCAACAAAAAAAGAAAGTAACTATGTGAGGTGATGGTTTCTACTTAGAACAAATGCACAAAGTCCTGTACAAAGACCTTAGGTGCACTGCTGTTAGTAGCAGTGAACATCGCATAAAGCAAGACAGTGGAGTCCGCTTCAGTATTTCAGTTTATTAAAAATTATGTAATAATTTTTTAGAAGAGTGAATCAATCTTAATGGTCCTGGAAGGATGTCCAAGACGTAGTGTAGAAAAAGCAGGTGTCTTTTATTCAGGCTAAACACACGCATTTACGGCATATGTGATGGTTAAGAACTCAAAGAAAGCTAGACAATGTGGTGCTGGCCAGCAATCCACTCGGGAGGCTGAAGCAGGAGGATCACAAGTTCGAGGACAGCCTCAACAACTCAGTGAGACCTCAAAATCTAAAATAATAAAATGGGCTGGGTATGTGGCTCAGTGGTACCGCGCCTCTGGGTTCAACCCCTTGGGAAAGGGGGGGGGGGGGGGGGCGGGAAGAACTCAGAAAAAGTTCTGGACTCGGGAAACAAAACAGGACTCCCTCCAGGGCGGGAGCGAGTTGGCAGGGAAGGGGTTTCGCTCCCTGGGGCGACTCCACCAAGAGCAGGAAAAGCAAGGCGAAAGTCACCTAACTCCGGCCAGGCCACCCACCAGCCGGGCCGTTGGCCCCCGGGTGCCATTTTCCTCCCTTGCCCAGGGAAGTCGCGGGCGGACCTCGGCCACACGCCGTCCACCGGCCGGACGGCGCTCGGGGACCGGCCACAGCGCCCGCCCGAGCCGGCGCCGGGCTGTTCAGGAGGCTCGCCCGGCGCCCCGGGGTGGAGGCGGGACGTGAAACCCGACCCCGGGCGGCGGCGGCGGCGGCGGCAGGGGCGCTCCGGGGCTGCGGCCGCCCGGGCCGGTCGGTTGGCCGGGACGCCGACTTGCGCCGAGGGCCCGCCCGCGCCGCCCGGCTCTCCGCGGCGCGCTCAGCGCACGGGGCGCCCCGGCCGCGGGGCTCGGGAGCGACCCCGGCCCGGCGGCCCGACCCCGCCCGGCCCCGCTCACCCAGGTAGCGGCTCCGCAGCCGGGACGGGTCCTCCAGCCCCAGCGACCTCCTCCGCACGTCCCACAACAGGTGCGGGCAGGAGCCGCCCCGCGACATGGCTCCGCCGGGGCCGCGGAGCTGGGGGCACCGCCGCGGGGGAGGGGCGGCGGGACGCGGCGCGCGACTCGGCTCCCGCGCCGCTCCGGCACCGTCCGCCGCTCCGGCACCGTCCGCCGCCGGCCTCGCGCGCAGCGACTCAGACGGCCGCGGCGCCTTCGTGCCCGAAGCCCGGCCGCGCCCGGGCCGGAGCTCGCCTCATACTCTCCTGCTCAGACTACCCAGAACATCCAGAGCCCGGCGACAGTCCCCTCCCTGCCCCCTCCCGCCGGAGGAGGAGGCGGAGGCGGAGGCGGTCGCGGCTCCTCCCTCCCTCGGCTCGGGACACCGCCCCTCCTCGCCTTTCTCGCGAGATGACGCCCCCACCCCCACCCCCGCGGGGCTGGCGGCCAGCGTTCGTGACGGCGGCCCTCACCCGAGGAAAATGAACTCAGGCCGCTCTAGCCAGATGGAAGAGGAGTAGAGAGAGAAACCGCCTGAAGTCTGTAATCTCTCGCCCACGCTTCTCGATCCAAAGGAAGCAAGAGCGTTGTGCGGTGTCATCTTTAGTGCGGGCATGGAAGGCCCGAAAAGCCCATGTTAACTGCGGGCCTCGTTCCTGAAAGCGAAGGGGCAGTGCAGCCAGACGAGCTTCACTTTCCCTTCTCCATCATGGCCGCGCGGACAGGAAGGAGAAGCCGGGGCTTCCCGTCCCGCCCGAGCCGCGGAGGGCGCCAATCGCTGCAGGCGGAGGGGCCCGCGCGTGCGCTCTGCCGGCCGGCTCTGGGCTGACTTAGCGGGGCGGTCCCCGCACCTGTTGCCATGACTCCTCCTCCGTCGCCGGGTCGCTTGCTGGAGGCGGGTGGGTTGGCGCAGAGCCCCCGCCCCTTCGCCTGCGCTGGGCGCGGGCCCTGGGAAGTTCGCCGGGCGGGCCGAGCCTGGGGAAGGGCGTCCTGGGCAGAGGCGGCCGCGAGGTTCCGTGGCAGGGAACGTGAGGAGCTTTCCTCCGCCGCCAGCCGGGGACCAGGACACGGCGGCGCTCCCGCCCCACTGCCCGCGATCGCCCAGCGGCCGAGATGGCAGCCGCCGGCGCCCGTGGCCTGCGGGCCAGCTACCACCGGCTCCTGGATAAGGTGGAGCTGATGCTGCCGGAGAAGCTGCGGCCGCTGTACAACCACCCGGCAGGTACGGCCCGGCCGCCGCGGCCCTCCCCGACCCTCGGAGCCCGCTGACACGCCGCGGCGGGCGGCCCGCGTCCGCGTCCGCGTCCCGCGACCTTGGCGCGCCGCCGCCGGGCACCTCTCCCGCACCGGGCCCCTCCCCGGCGGCCGCCGCTCGCGGGGGCGAGCGCCGCGCAGGTGGCCCGCGCGGGGCCCGGGGAGGCAGTGCTCCGCCACCTGCTGCGGCCGGCGGGGCGAGCCCCCGGGCCGGCGTTGGGCCAGCCTCGGCCGCCCCGAGCATCCCCGGGACCGATCTGATTGCGTTGGCGCCGCCACTTCCTAGGGTCACCTTGGGCAGAACCCCAGGTCTCAGTGCCTGGGATGTGGCGGGTGTGAGAATCACAGGTGCTTGCTCGATGGTTGGTCAATGCTCCCTAGATGTCCGCTCTCTCTGGTCCCACCGGAAAACAGTGTCCTTGTGATGATGATGATAATAATTCTGTAAGAAACTGGCAGCTCTCAATTCCTTCAGCTATTTATTCAAGACCTACAATTCGGTTATTTCCCATATAAGGGGAATTAATGATACTTGGCTGGGGACTAAAATCAGATATATTCTGAGGTCTTTTTCAAGCATAAAATTTAGCAAAGGAAAGCTTGTTTTAAATTGAGAGATGTAAGTGCTACTGAGAATGTGGGTTTTTTCCCACTTTTAGTTCTACCCATATTCGACTGTGAAGCAGCCCTCTGGAATCCTATATGGTTGCTAAATATGATTTCCATTTTGATAATGTGTTGAAATATTCCTCTGAATTATACTTTAGTTTAATCCAAAATATTATTTACTATATAATACTGAATCCATTATAAAACTAATCTTTAACGAGAGGTGGTTATTGATTAGGAAGTGTATTTGGTTTGTCTTTTAGTTGTTTTTGCACTTAGACTTTTAGAATTGTGCTTGTGTTTTTTTGGCAAAGACTTTTGGGGGGTTAGGCATAATTTTGAAATGATATGGGCATTACAGAGTCAACAATTTTGATAGGATAGAGGAGGAGCAATTTTAAACTACTAAAAATAATACAGAATTAGAAAGTTGTCTTTATTTCTTCTTGATGATGTAGTCTCCTGTTGATCTTTTCCAAGGTCTTGGCTTTTAGTCACATGTAATTATTGCTTAGAATTACTTATCTTTCAGAATAGATTGTTTCACCTGAACATCTTTTCAATTGGTTCAGTTATTTTAATCCATTTCAGAGTATTGGAAGGAACAAAGGCTAGAAAGACTAAGTTGAGTCTTGCCCATGTGATCTTAATCTTAAATTTCTCAACCTTTATTTTCTACTCTATAAAATGGGGATAATAATTATCACCATTTAAGTATTTTTGAGAAATGATGTAATGTCTGCAAAATATGTGTTTGCCCTTCAACTCTCAACAAAAGTTGGTTCTCATCTGAGCTTTTGAACAAGATGCAGAGTAAAGATATCTATTTCTGAAGTTATTTATGATTAAAAAGTTGAGGAAAACCAAAGTAGAAATAGAGAACCACAAAAATATGACTGCTGACTATTAGTCTTAGATAAAATCTGAGGAAACATTGGTTCTTTTTCTAAGAGTTATACAGAGTAAATATTCAAAGGTTTTAACATACTATTTTGCATATTGTTATTGAATCACCCTTTAAGCATTAGACTAAATTCCCATACGAGAAATATTTTTAATGTTATGAAAGGCTAAATATTAATTGCTGGAAATAACACATTGCTGATTCTAAATTTTTGAGATTTTTTAAAATTTTTTTGTGGTACAGGGGATTGAACCCTGCCTGCCTTGTGCTTACAAGACAAACACTCTTTCAACTGAGCTATATCCCCAGCTCTTTGAGATTTCTTTTTATCACTAACATGGATATCTAGACAAGCAACAAGAATATGTTTTTGTGTACTGGAATGTTACATGATCCAGTATCCTTAGGCCTTCATGTCTTTGCCTCTGTGTTTCTAGCACGTCATGATCTGCCTCTATAAAAAAGAATAGAATTCTGACAAAAGGTGCGACCTAGTCAGGTTCCTCAACTCGGGGATGTCACTCCCTCCCCACCACTGCCTGACTGTATGTTAAAGTATGTGGCTCCAAACTAATCACCTGTATGGCTATCCTCCGGACCTGCATGGCTATCTCCGGGTATGCTTCAGAGAATACTTGAAAGTCAGTTGCCCAGTGTTTATTAAAAGCTTAGCTGGTGCTATGGTAAGTGACGAGGAGTAGATAAAGGCAGTAGGGTAGAGTGCCATGACTGACTTTTGGTGGGTGTAAGAACAGGGACCAGATATGCACATGTGGACACGAGCTGTCTGTCTATTGCTGTGGAACCTGACTAGGTTGCACCTTTAGTCAGAATTATTATTATTATTATTGTTTTTTTTAATTTTTTAATAGATGTAGATCATGATGTGCCAGGAACACAGAGGCAAATGCATGAAAGGCCTCAAAATTCTAGGATCATGTAACATTCCAGCCTTCCTACCTCAGGAGTTTGTCAGCAAGGCCATCACCAGATAAGGCCCCTAGATCTTGCACCTCTATAATTGTGAGCCAAAATAAACCTCTTTTCTTGAATATTTCATCATAGTAATTAAAATGGATTATCTACCACTAGGGGAAAAGACATTATTAGTTAAACAGATGTCATTGCTTTGCTTGTTATGTGCAAGTTACAAAATAGAGTGGATTGAGCTGATGAAACAGTAGCCCAGTCATGTTGTTAGCATTAGATAAGAACTAGCTTTTGCAAAATAAAAATGAATAATTTTTGGCAGTCAGTATCTGTGTCAAAGTCTAAGCTTTCCAGATTCTAAGGACATGTGCCTGTAGTTGGTCACATGATAGTGAACAGGTGGACTTGCACAAGACTAAGGAATTAAGGGGTGTTGCAAAGGAAGGGGAGAGGAAGAAATAGGGAAGGTTAAACAATGGATACCAGTTACATTGGATAGGAGGAAGGAGTTTGGTGGACTATAGGTAACAGTTGGGTACTGGACATCTCAAAAAAATAATAATAATACAAGAAAAGATCTTGAATGTTTTCACCATAAGTTACAAATGTTTCAGGAGATAGATATGTTTGCCCAGATTTAAACATTACACAATGTACACATGGGGGAAAACATCACATCTGCATTAATGTGTAATTTTTATGTTTCTTATATGAACTAATAATATGAAATAAAAAGGTAGCAAGTGATAGAGGAATGGTATGAAAGGTATGAGAAGAGGTAGTGGGAAGGTAATGATTTATATGGCCTCCAAGATTTTGTTTTTAAGTATGTTTTAGTTGTAGATGTACACAATATCTTCATTTATTTATTTTTTATGTGGTGCTGAGGATCGAAACCAGTGTCTCACATGTACAAGGCAGGCGCTCTACCACTGAGCCACAACCCCAGGCCCCTCCAAGGTTTTAATAAGAAATTTTTTTCACATTGGAACATAGTGAATGCTTCAGTTCAGTGTCTGGATGTGTCTGGATGTGTATGTGTCAAAATCACCTGTTCTTTCCAAGGAGGAAGCTTTCCTTGAGGAAGGAATCACATATACACATGACCTACTTTCTCAAAGTCATATAATATCTTACTAAGTAATTCTTTTCAGGTGAACAAATTAGGAAGTAAAATTTGGTTTGTCAAAGCGTGTGCATGAAAACTAGATTTGTTAATTTGTTTGAAAATTTATGTCTGTTATTATTTGTTCTGCTATTCATCCAGAGAATTTCTTAAATTCTTTTATGAAAACTTAAACTTTAAAAAACATCAATTTAATTTTAAGACAGTAAGACACAAGAGAAAAAAAAACATTATAATAGTCTCTATATTGTTTATTATTCTTAAATGGCTCATAGTTTTATATATACATATAGAGGGGGGAGAGGGAGAGGATATGCTTGTATGAAGTTTCTAAATTGTCAGTTTGAGGCCTTTTCATTCCAAAAATAGAGGGGTTTTGTTTGTTTGTTTGTTTGTTTTTGATACTGGAGGTTGTACCCAGGGGCACTTTACCACTGAGGTATATCCCCAGCCTTTTTTATTTTTTATTTTGAGAACAAGGTCTTGCTAAGTTACTGAGGCTGTCCTTAAACTTTCCGTCCTCCTGCTTCAGCCTCCCTAGTCACTAGGATTAAAGGTGTACACCACCATACCCAGTTCCAAAAAGTAGA